AATTATAAGATTATATTAATATTTAATTATATTAATTATTATTATATTATTAATTTAATAAAAATAATTATATTATATAATAAAATAATAATATTAGAATTATTAGTATAATTATGGTATTATTTGTTAAAATATTACAACTATATTATATTATATCATATTATATATATATATATATATATTGTGATATTATTATATACTATAGTATAAGATATAATTACATTACAATATATTATATATTATTATAGAATATTAAATAAATATATTATAATTTAATTATTATAACTATATTATATTATAATATTTTTAATATATATTATATTATATTACATATTATAAGATATAACTACTATATAGTATATTTTAATTATATTATAATATTGAAGGGTAATTATGGAAAAAAACAAAGAAAAGAATTTAGAATTGCTATTCCTTCCATGTGAGGAAGGAATGAGGATTCACCCAAAATGGGTGAATTGTCATTCCTTTTGAATGATCGTTCATTTCTTATAAATTCAACCAAACATCAAACTAGAATTTCATTTCATTCTATTTATTTCCTTTCCACCTCATTTCTCTCTCTACTTTCTATAGCTCGTTAAAATAATAATAATAATAATAATAACAATAATAATAATAAAGAAGACGACGACTTTGCTGCATCCTAAACTTTGTCATTTTTTAAAAAAGGCTATTGTATCGTCGTATGTGCGTTTTGCGGTTTTGTTATTATTTTTCTAGAAAATGATTATAGTTCAATTTTTCTCTGGTAATCTTTTTTTTCTCGCTCTCTGCATGACATATTTGGTTTGCAACTCTTTGAAATATGGCATTGTTCTAATCTACACACAACATTACTTGTCATATGACATCATTTCTTCAGGACACTAATATTATCTTTATGCAACATTATCCTTCTTTATACAGCTTTACTCCATATCGTCATATTTGATACGACAACATTATGTACGTGTTTGGAACCGTTTTTAAAAATAGTTTTCACATATTTGAGAAAAAAATGAAAATGAAAACGAAACGATGTTTGTTTAGTAAATGTTTTAAAAACGAAAACAATGAGAATAGTTTTTATGAAGGAATTAGAAAGCAGTTGAAAATTGTTTTCATTTTTTAGTACTTATCAACAATATTATAATATATTAATTAATAAGCACGATTTCATTTTCTTATTATACTCAAAACAATCTCTTAAAAAATTAACTAAATGTAATTTCAGAATCGGTCCCAGAATGATTCTCAAGACAATCTCATTTTAACTTTTTATTAAAAACAAAATCATTTTTAAATCAATTCTAAATGCACCCGTTGTTTTGGTGATCCTTTTGCTATCATCCGTCAAACTTTGAACGGCTTTAGATGATTTTTTGCACGTGACTTGTATGTGAGCTATGAATCAAGGCATTGATGGTCTTTTTATTAAAAAGGGAATTAACAAAAAATAGTAATAATAAGCACGAGTGGAAAAAAAACCTTAGCCCCTTCAAGACCCCATCTCTCCTTCACTCTCTCTCCATCTAGCCTAGTGGTGTCAAACGTGCCGTGCCGGGCCGGCACGGCAGGTCCAACACCAGGCCCCTTGTGCCGGGCTTGGTACGGCCCTGCACAGTGCAGGGTCGTGCCTGGGCCAGGCCTGAGGAGAAAAACTCAGGCCCGGTCCAAGCCTGCGGCTCTAGTCCATAAGGGCCAGGGCCTTCACGGGCCAGACCCGGCCCTTGTATTTTTTTTAAATTTAATTAAAAAAATATCATATGCCCCCAAAAGATGTGATTTATTGCCTCGTTAAAAACCTTGGCAAGTAAAACCTGTGGAGAAATCGGGACAAAACCTTAGCGAAGGAAAAAAGAGTGCAGTAGCTAGGAGCCTAAGAATAGTAAATTACAAATCTAAGTGCTTCCAGAAGATTCTGTTATTTCTAAGTTAGAAAAATATTATTACATTGAATCATCTGTGTATTGTTGTTTTCGTCTTCTGGCATCTTCCCAGTCTTTAACGCACATTAGCCCCTCCAAGATATCTGGATGCATTCTGCTTCTCTTCTCGTTAAGAATTCAGTTGCTTGTGCTAAAAGCTTGCTCTGATACTACCGTTGACACTGGAGTTGTCTAAATGTCACAAGCTATTACGAACAATGTTGGAAAACGATTGGTCTACTGGTAGACGCTTGTGTTGATGATAATCCTGTCATTTTCTCTTTCTACTTTAAGAAACTCCACGATGATCCTTTAGGCCCCGAACTGCTAGCTGACGACGAAGTTTCCTGTTCTTTTTTACCTGTGCTGTATTTTGCTTCATACAAACTAAAAATCTTTTCCAACATTTTCTTAGCATCAGTAATAGCTAGTTGCATATCTATTCTTAAATTTATTGTGGTAGCAGTCATCAATGAGTCAATTCCATCTATTCTGTACCTAGGATCTAAAATGGTTGCCAATGCATATAGCATAGGACAACCTGACTAATAACTTTTAAATTTATTTTCCATTAACTTAACTATGTTTCCAAAAAGTTCTGTATCCCTATAATAAGAAAATGTTTCTGAAAGATTAAATAGTTGATGTAAAGCTAAATGTACAGTAGGATAATAAACTCCAGAAAGTAATTCAGTAGCATTGTAAAAAACTTCTAGAAATTTAAAAAAATACTCACCAATCTGCCAATCAGTATCAAAAATTAAAAGTTTATCGTTATTACTGTTTACGTACGTCGTGATAAGCTGCAAATACGGGAGTGTTGCCTTCAACATTAAATATGTGAAATTCTACCTATGTCTCACGTCAGTTGAAAACTTTCTTAGGCGCAGCTGACTGTTCCTGTAATTTTATTTGAATTCTTAGAGCTGAGCTCCAAAACTAGATATGAATGATAATGATTCTCTAATATTTGTTAGATTAGATGAGATATGTTCAATTCCTGCCTGAACTACTAAATTAATTATGTGACATGCACACCGTTGATGAAAAAAATTTCCCCCAAACGCTGGTTTCAAACTATGTTTAAACATGTTAATTGCAGCTGTGTTAGCTAACGCATTATCAAAAGTAATAGTTAAAACTTTATCTTCTATCCCATAAAACCTAAAAATTTCCATTATTGTACCAAAAATAGATGATGCGTTATGAGGATATAGACATAAACGAAAATTAATTATTCTTTTTTTGTAAAACCCATTCGCCATCAACATAGTGCGCTGTGACACATAAATATCTAGTTTTATTGCACCCCTCCCACAATTCAGAAGTGCAAGAGACAGGAGCATTAAAAGTCCTAAAATTATCAATAAGAGATTGTCTCATTGCATAAAATACTTTCATGCAATCAGAACGAGTTGTGTTTCTACTTACCTGTTTAAATTGTGGGTAGAAGGCCGTCTGGATGAATTCTTCGAACGATGCATCATCTGCAAAAGAAAGAGGCAATTCGGCACTAGCTAGAAATTTAGCTAGTGCCTCACGAGCACGTTGTGCATCGTATGTAAAATTTTGTAACCCCTGTGATGTGAGTGATAGTGTTTGTTGGCGGGAGTCCACACTCCCACCTTGGTGCAACGGTAGACATACTTTTCAATGTCTATCCAGATGACCAGTACCCCCACCATTGTTATTAGAAAAGTGTTTTTTACAATATTTACATACCGCACGAATTTCCATTTCACCTATTTTTAGATTTGGTCGGGGCTCCTCAGTGAAATGCTGCCATGCCGGAGAAGTTCGCGGTCTTTTTCCTCTACTACGTTCTCCAGCTTCCTCGTTGTGCACTGAAGCATTATCCACTGGAGCATTTTTTGGTTCAGTAGGGGTGGGGTTGGGAGGCATCATTTCATCCTAAAAAAATGTCTCATCATCAAGCTCAGAAAGAGCAGTGAAATCAGGGAAGTTTGGTGTGGCCATTTTCTGGAAATTAATTGAACTTGAACTTTGTAAATGAAAGAGCGAGAAAATGAGTGAACGCGAGAAAAAAGCTTAGAATCAAAATGAAAGAGACAAGTTGAGAGATAGAATGAGATTGAGATGAGAAGTTGAGAGTGAATTGTTGTGTGAGATTTAGGGTGGAATTAAGGAGTATTTATAAGAGATTTTTTAGCCATTTTCGGATTCTTACCGTTAGGCCCTTCGCGGGCCCAAGGGGCGGCCCGTGACGGGCCTAACGGGAGGCCCGTCACGTGCCAAACGGGAGGCCCGTGATGGGCCAAACGGGAGGCCCATCACGTGCCGCCCGTGTTGGCCCAAGGTTGAATATTCTCATGTTTTGATGATAACAAACACAATGTATTATGTTTCTAATGATTCTATTTTGAGTTGTGTATTTAGCGTAATTAATGTTATAAATTAACTCAAGAAGCATTTTGCAGAATACAATGCAAATACATTCAAGATTGACAAATGCAAATTGAAGAAGGAATTCAAGGCTTGAAGTGCTAAAATACCAAAGATCAAGAGCAAGCAAACAAAATCAAGCTGGACAAGTACTAATAG